GAGGGGACAGAAGTCTGATGGGAGGAGTCAGGGAGGGAATATCCAGAGGCCTATTGGTAGGGGACAGAAGTCTGGTGGAGGGAGTCAGGGGAGGGAACAAGTCTGGTGGGAGAGGGTCAGGGGACAGAAGTATGGTGTAAAGGATCAGGTCAAATTAAAAGTTATTTTTTTAATTAATAATTTGGACTAATGTTTTATGATTTTATTTTACTTAGAATTCGTGGCAGACCTTAGAGAAGCCATTCTACATATTGCCAAACATTTTGATGCTATTGATCCTAAAAAGGTTTGTTCCTAAGCACTAATGATCTTATTTAGCAAAATGTGTGTATTTTCACAGCAATTAACTCAGTTAAAGTTAACTCAGATCATTTTAAGTTTGATCACGATGAAAAGAAACATCTTAAAACAAGCTGTTTCTAGAGGTGGTTTTAGACATTAATACACACATGTGACATACCCAACCATTGCCACCCAATTATTATTTTTAGATGTTCAYTAACCAGGAAGTGGGGAGCCTTGTTTGACAGATCCAATCTCTGTTTACAAGTYGACTAGAAGTATTGGTATTAAGATTGTTGATTTGTGTTACCATGGGAAYGGATGTTAGACCGTCAATACTTATGATATATATTTAATATGATGAATGATGTGATTGATTGTTTGGTAATACAGGGTCTTGAGGTGGATTACTCAATGGAGAGTCATGCTAGAGATCATGAACGCTTTGTCAGTGTAGCAAGGTATAAGTGGAGCATTGAGTACTCTAGTTTTTGTTATCCTTAGATTTTATCTTCATATCCAGCACCAATATCTTCTATCCATTCATTCATCCTGTCAACTGAGTCACCAATCCATTCATTCTTTCATCCATTCTCATTCATTCACTGTAATCACTTCACTTACCACCCTCCCCCCACCTCAAGTCTAGACAATCTAGAAGCTATCTGTTCAATAATTGATTTGTCTTCACAAATTAAAAACTTATTTTGTGTAATTTTTGTTTGCAGGAATAGAAGAAGAAGAGCAAAAGCTTTGCTTGACTTTGAAAGACATGATGATGATGAGTTGGGATTCAGAAAAAATGACATTATTACGGTATGTAGTATTTGGGGTGGGAGGGGTGGTGTCAGGGAAGGGGACAGTTTCATTTGTCCTCCTCTTAGGAGAGGGTGGGATCCTTGCAATGGAGTTCTTTGTCAAAGATGATGATGAAAATGATGATGATTGTTGGTGAGTGATGATTGTTGGTGAGTGATGATGTTGGATGATAATGGTGATGATGATGATGAGGGAGATGATGATGATGATAATGATGGTGGTGATGGTGACGATGATGATGATGGTGGTGATGATGATGATGGTGATGGTTGTTGGTGAGTGATGATGGATGATGATGATGATGGTTGTTGGTGAGTGATGAGGTTGGATGATGATGGTGATGATGTTGATGATGATGGATGATGAAGATGATGGATGATGATGATAGATGATGATTTATAATGATGGATGAGGATAATCATGATAGATTGTTATGATGATTATGACGATAATAGATGAGGATAAATGATSATGATCATGATTATAATGATGATGATTGTACCAGGGGCAATGTTTATGGTGTAGGTGATGATGATAAATGATGATGCTGGTATTTTGAGGAGCTAACAAGAATATGACTTCATCATTCCAGATCATTTCTCAAAAAGATGAGCACTGCTGGGTTGGGGAGCTGAACGGTCTTAGAGGTAATTAATAATAATTATATATAAACCAGGGCCTGGTTGTACGAAGGGTGGATAGCACTATTCAACCGATAAATCCTTATCCAGTGGATAAGTTGATGCTGTCAATCCAATAAATTTATCCACTGGATGAAATTAATCCGCCGCATAAGCTATCCACCCTTCGTACAACCCACCCAGGTGAACATAATAATGATGATAATAATTAATAATAGTGCATTTGGTTAAGTGCTTATCCCGGTCTGTTCTAAGCCCTGGTAGTAGTAAGTACCAAGTAATAACTACAAATTAAAAGCTTTGAAAAATGCTAAAATTTTGAAAATGACAGGCCTTAAAATAATGGCTGTTCAGTCACTGGTCATGATCACTAGCAAAATTAGTTGGTTGGTTGGTTGGTTGGTTGGTTCAACTTTGTGCCCCTACTTTGAAGTAACCAATACTGGTTTTTCCTTTTGGTTCTAAGGGGTGCACCCCCCCCCCCCAAGTTAACTTTGTGCGCAGCACCCCTCCCTGAACAAAATCCTGGATCCACCCCTGTAATACTTAGGTATACGACACCCTCCACACTCAAACCATTAAACTTCAATAATATATGTCTACACATAAAATTAATGTGTTTTTTGAGTGTGCAATTTTTTTGTTATTTCTTGCTTCAATCATTTAATATCATTGTTTTCTAAGGTTGGTTTCCTGCAAAGTTTGTGCAGATATTAGATGAACGAAGCAAAGAGGCAAGTAAAATATAATCATTCAAGCTAATATTTCTTTATCTATTTTGTGCACTGTTTTTATGATCATTTTGATGACTTATTGTTTACAGTATTCATCTGCTGGTGATGACTCAGTATCTGAGACTGTTACAGATCTTGTGAGAGGAGGGTAAGTCTCACAAATACAGCTGCAACTCCGCTATCTTTTCCATGGAATTGATTGATATTTTGAGCCTTGGATTCGTGAGATGACAACACTGTAGCAGCATCTATRTTATTCGATTATGATCTAATGTCATAACTTGTTTTTCTTAGTCTGTGTCCTTCACTAAAGAGTATCTTTGAGCATGGAATGAGGAGACCTTCAATCCTGGGTGGACCATGTCATCCATGGYTATTCATTGAAGAGGTACACATCTTGCAGCATGATAATTGACATCTATTAGGGGTGGACCAAAGGGAGGGGTCACCCATGGTTATTCTTTGAAGAGGTACACTATCACCTTGCATTATTGATGCTTGAGTTTGTAAATGCCCTGATCTCAAATGGTGTACCCCCTCCTAACAACCATCCAGGATCCACCCCTATGTAGCCTGCAACGGTTCTGACAGGTAAACTGTACAGCATAATCTGAATTCAAAACAGAGTTGAAAATGTTTTTGATCAGATGTTTGGTGGCCTGAGTTCAAGTTATTGTGCACAAGATTTCATTTATTAAGTTTTTATTTTATTTACTCATAGGCTAGTCAGCGGGAGGTGGAGAGAGACTTTCAGTCGGTATACTCCAGGCTGGTGCTGTGTAAAACATTTAGGTATTATGATCATGATTTTATAACATATACCTACTCTGTGGCGGATTTGGGGGGGGGTCATTGGGTGCAAATGAACCCCCCCCCCCCCCCACCGACTGGTACCTTGGATTTTTTATATTTTTTWAAATAAACAAATAAAGGTATGGTACTAACTCATGAGATTTAATATGAAATGGGACTGGTGGATAAGTTATCCTTATCAGGAGCACCCCTAGGCCAGTGATGTGCCTCGTAGGAAAATGATGATGCAAGAGAACGTTATTGTTGTGCCGAGATTTGCAAAAATGAACCCCCCCCCCCCCTCTTAAAGTCCTGGATCTGCCACTGCTACTTGCAAGAACATTGTCATACGAAAGTAGAACATTAGTGTTTAGTGGGATAGGAATTATATTAAAAAACAAAAGAAGATCACTGAAGCTGAACTTTTTCTTTTGTCTTTTAATGTATTCCTTTCTCAATAAACTACTAATGTTCTATTCTTGTTTGACAACCTTTCTGCAAGTAGGTGTACTAGAAGGACTCCTTTTAAGATTTACTTGATCTTAATTTGGTCTAAGGGATCATACAGTATTAATGTCTGGCAGGAGGGGAGGCCATGAGAATCAAAATAATTTCTTAAAAACATATCATCTTCCCTCCTATCCATAAATAATGGATGTTCCCTTGGGACAAAATGTTTCTCTCTGCAAACTTTGTTAAGATTAAGATGAGTAGAATTCTGGGAGATCATCATTCAACTAGAAAAACATCAACAAATTGTAAACAGTTGCTGCTTCTTGTAAATGCATAAAAACATGTTGTAATAAATGGTACTGAATAATATATCATTTGTTTCTTTAAATAGACTTGATGAAGATGGTAAAGTTCTTTCACCAGAAGAAATTCTCTACAGAGTAAGAGTTGGGATTCAAGTGATATATCACTTTTGCTAGAAGTAGAATGGTATCTTTGGTATTCCATCCTTCTCTCTCTTCCTTACCCTCTACTCGTCATATACTATCTTGAATAATCCTCACTGGTGCGATGTCCCGTCCCTACATTGGGTTGATGATAAGCTTGTTAATGGGTTATAGAACCACCCTCTCTTTCCTAGGAATAGTGTTGCATTACTTGCTACCCCCCCCCCCCCCCCCCCACCCTGAACCCCATGAGAATAGTGATACTGCTCTTTNTAAGCTTGTTAATGGGTTATAGAACCACCCTCTCATTACTTTGAATAGTGTTGCCCCCCCCCCCCCCCCCCTCCATGCTTCTCCATCCTGAACCCCATGAGAATAGTGATACTGCTCTTTAATGTATTAAAGCACCACCCTCTCTTCCCTAGGGATGGTGATGCATTACTTGCTACCCCCCCCCATGCTTCTCCACCCTGAACCCCATGAGAATAGTGATACTGCTCTTTAATGTATTAAAGCACCACCCTCTCTTCCCTAGGGATGGTGATGCATTATTTGCTGCCCCCCCTCCATGCTTCTCCACCCTGAACCGCATGAGAATAGTGATACTGCTCTTTAATGTATTAAAGCACCACCTCTCTTCCCTAGGGATGGTGATGCATTATTTGCTGCCCCCTGGGACTAGTTACCCATTGTTACCACCCCATACCCCATGGGGATAGTAATACTACTATTTAATCAGTTATACCACCACCCTGTCTTCCCTGGGTTTGGTGATTCATTTATAACTATTTCAGCTACAGACTCCCCTTCTGACTTGTGTTAAGATACCCATTGTCACCAGCCACCCTACCCCTTGGGGATAGTGAAAGGTTATTTGATACTGAATGCCTTGGTAAAAGTATTGTTATATCCAATCTTTGTTTCTTGATGATAGGCTGTACAGTCAATCAATATGAGCCATGATGCATCAGGGTCACAGATGGATGTCAAAGTAAGATCATTATACTATGAAATAAGTAACTAACTTAAGTTTGGTGGTTAAGATTATAACAGTAGATAGCATGCAACCAGTGCTGCTGTTGTTGYTAATACTAGATGATAACAAAGATTATGATGATGCTGGATGATTAGTGTGGTAATTAATATTATTGACGAATCTAATCACATATTTATCTCTTTCCTATTGGGCCGATAAACCCACCTAGTGTGTCCTTGAAGTCTCATATGAGACTTGGTAGCTCAGTGGTTAGGAGCATGGAACCAGTATTGCCAGGGTACGGGTTCGAACCCTGTTCAAGACTCAGAATTTCAATTTGCACCTGCATAAGTTGCTTCATGTACTGCGAGGATCAGCTCAATTTGATACATTACAACCACAGTAATATATATTTCATTTATATTCTCATACACATCTAATCACATTGTTTGTCTTTTACAACTTTCAGTTCAGATCGTTAATGTGTTACGGACTCAAGTAAGTTTGACGACATAGTCAGAATCAGTGGAAATTATTTTATGCAATAACACATCATATTCTAAAATATCTCTGAMTATATTTTGTGTACTTTTCCAGTGAACAGTGTTTACATCTCTGGCTAGAATCGTTGTGTGCGTGTGAAGACACAGTCGCAAAATGGTAGGCATGTAGGGTTATGATATTTCCATCTATTATAAAGTAGTGAAATAAGTAATATTTATGGTTTTGGCCATGACGTGCATATATATATTGTATATATTATAGTAGTTATTGATAATTGTGGTTTTGGCCATGAYGTGCATATATATATTGTATATATTATAGTAGTAATTGATAATTGTGGTTTTGGCCATGATGTGCATATATATATTGTATATATTATAGTAGTAATTGATAATTGTGGTTTTGGCCATGACGTACATATATATTGTATATATTATAGTAGTAATCAATAATTGTGGTTTTGGCCATGAAGTACATATATATTGTATATATTATAGTAGTAATCAATAATTGTGGTTTTGGCCATGACGTACATATATATTGTTTATATTATAGGTATCATCCCTGGTCTTTCCTGCGAAGTCCTGGGTGGATACAGATAAAGTGCGAACTAAGGTAACTAGAATCCTAATGTTTAATCGAAGTAATATGATCATCYGGGTGGATGTACAGTAATCCTGAAAAGGACTGTTTGATGGGACTGACGTTTCAACAACTTGAGCAGAAGTCACCTTCAGGTCGAGTCAAGTGACTTCCGGTCAGGTTGTCAAACGGCAGTCCCATCAAACAGTCCTTTTCAGGATTACTCTACATCCACCCGGATGATCATAATACTTCAATAAAATTTCATTCACCTGGGTTCAGGCCAATCACCCCATTATAGATCACCCCTGCCCTTCCCTCCCTAACAACCCACTGCACTATCCCCTCTTGTCCCAAGCTCTAAACGCTAATTTACAGTTAAGGTAGTGGAAAAAGAATTTTAAGATTGTGTTCCATAGTCTTAGTCATTTTTTTTTTTTAATTCATTCTTTTATTTTTCAGAATGCTTTCCTCCTTTTCCTTCAATTTGAATGTAGACTGGGAACTAACCAATGAACCAAAGGTAAAACTAACTGCAATTAATCTGACTGTCAAAAAAATACTACRATAGCAAGTAAATTATTAAGCTGCATCAGGTTATGAAATATACAGCCATATCATTTCATCTTTCCAATGACCCTTTTATATCGTCTGGTAGTTTTGTGAGTTTTGATTGGTTAAAGGCTGCTAATGCCAACAATAAAACAGCAACTTCTTGTTTTCCAGGTTGTTGAATCAGTCATTGGTGATGAAAAACATATGCAGGTACAAGATTATTTAACAGATATTATAGAGATAGAGGGGGTAGAGGGGGGTGGAGTATAGAGGGGGTGGAGGGGGGAGTGGATTATAGAGGGGGTGGAGGGGGGTGGAGTATAGAGGGGATGGAGGGGAGTGGAGAGGGGGTGGAGTATAGAGAGGGTGGGATGGGGGGGTGTTCTCAAAAAATATCACCTTTACATAACAATACAGACTAATTACTGTTTACCAAAAGCATAATAAATACCATCGACTGTCTTGTTTCCTCACTGGACTCTGAAGATGACTTCTGTCAGTTTGTCAATACCAAAACATCAGTCACCACCAACAACAGTCTTTCTCTAGACTACACTCACCCTGACGATCGCATTTCACAACAAACTTCCACACCTGGTTTCAAACCATTTACTCTCAAAAAATATATATCCACCCTTTCCTACTTAGATCTTTGCGCAGTCTGCTTGAGTGACACGAAACAATGGCTCAACGTTAAGGTTGGACTTGATGTGTTCATACTTTTACTGTATTTTATCAAGTTCAACCTTGACTTTGAGTCATATATTTGTGGTCACTCATTACAAGTGAGTTAGGGAAATGGTTATCCTGTCCACAAGTCCATTAAAATGCAAACACCAATATACAACAGTAGAGTACTTTTTTGTGGTGTTGTATTGTGACTAATTGTTTTTTTATTTATCTTGTTCTTGTGTTTGCCTGGTGTGTCTTGTTATCAGGAGGTGAGATKTCTTAGTTTTTATTTTCATTTTGTTAATATTTTAAATATATTGTTTTAGTTTCACGTTATGTGTAGTCCAGAAATTATCCTCCCCCCTCCCCCCCTCCCTCGCAAATACATGCACACAGAGGAATTTTGAAATTCTGAGGGGTAGAGGGGGGAGGGAGGGGGAATTGAAATTTGTGGGGGTAGAGGGTGTCTGGAAAAAAATTTCTCTGTTGAGAGCGTATGAATAATTTCTGGAACTACACTATTTTGTTTCTTAAAATGTTTAAAGTTTTTGTTTGAGTGATTCTTAACATGTTTAAAATAAAGTAATTTCTCTGGGCTTATGTAAGTCAGGGCACAGCTAACTCACAGATAAAACACCTATAATTTTCTAGTTATTATTTTTTTCGTTTTTATGGTCTTGTGGTGTTGTATTGTGACTAATTGTTTTTTATTTATCTTGTTCTTGTGTTTGCCTGGTGTTGTCTTGTTATCAGGAGGTGAGATGTTTTCCTTTTTTAAAGAATTAATTATTTATTATTATTTAATTAATTAATTAATTTTTATTTAATATTCATTTATTTGGTAAAAAGTGTTTTGAGGGACCAGAGAATCTGGAGAAAACCCCTTGAATCAGAGAAAGGACTCACATGTAATGCCGAGCCCCTTAGACACCAAAAGGCGAGAGGGGTGGGGCGAATTATGGTCTTTTYGCTACCTTGCACTTTCGCTACTAATAGAAGCCGATTCGCTACTTAATAGAAGTCAATTTGCTACTTTACTACGAAGCAGAACCTCCTTCCATTTCCTAAGCCCTTGCTTGTGATTGCACCTTAATTTAACACTATGAGTATCATTTTCTTCTCTTTAGGTGACGCAGCCAATGAAGGATGGCGTACGAGACATGTTGGTCAAACACCATCTTTTCAGCTGGGATCTCTAAGAACTGCCAATCAAAGATAATATTAGGGAGTATTAAAAATTAGCCGATAGATTAAAGGGAGGGAATAAATTGCTGCAATTGGGTTCAAATAATATGAAGAGTAAGTTATCAGCAGCTGGGGCAAAAATATTTATTACAACATGATATTTGGAAAATAAATATCATAATAGATCTATAAACTAGATATTATTATTATTATTATTAAAATTATTAGCTAGACTTCAAGTCAATATATCAGCAATCATAATTCACTTAAATGCAATTATAATATACGTAAGTGAGAGGTTAGGATGGATAAAGCCCTGTTTACACTGGTGCTTTTTGGGGCAATTTTCGGAAATATGAAATATTTTGTCTCATCCTTCAAAAGAGACATTCGTCTAGGAAAATCTTGGTATCCTGAAAAAAACTTTACAAGTGAATTCTTTATCATTATTTATTATGGACAATATCGCAAAAAAATCGCAGCAAAAATCGCCGCAAAAAACGCTAGTATAAACGGGGCTTAAAAGTTTGGCCTGGAGCATGATGCCAAAAGTTTATTAGGATACTACACGCATCAGCCCTTGCTTTATTTAAATTTTTTTTTTTTCAAAGATCTATGCCATATAGCATTCTGTAATAAACCTTTCCTAGGAAATTTACGAAATTTACGTAAAGAATATGACCCACTAGGTCGTTGGGTTAATTGTGTGCTCTTGGCCAACAACCTGACTGGCTGATTTCAAAAGAGCCACGTGCCAAAAGTGCACTTTCTGATTGACTAATACCTAYGTTTTGGCAACCAATTAGAACGTTTTAGCTTCATGTGTTCASAATTAGATGCGAGACTGTATACTGACAGTAAACGTATGAACACATAAGTCCATCACTTGACTTGGAACACTTGTTATATGGTTCTCACTCAAATGAATACAGGAAAGGTCTATTATGAAGCGTTAAATGTTGATCAGAATATAAAAGATTTTTTYGTAGTTCATTGAGCATTTTTTTCATGTACAAGTTTCTGAGAGGGAAAAAACTGCCCAATGAGAGACATAAATGATATTTAATTGGTAGTTGTTTATTATTTGCACAGGAAAAAAAACCGGATTACCAAATTGGGAATTTGTTGGGAACTTCCTTGAATTCCCAAYGAATTCCCATCCAATTCCCAGAGAGAGAACGAAAATTGGGAACTTTTTGGGAACCAATGTTAGTTTGTTGGGAATTTTGTTTTTCTATTGGGTATTAGAAAGAAATTCCCAACAATAAATTCCAACGTTGGTGTTCAAATTGGGAATTCAAGGAAATTCCCAATAATTCCCAATTTGGGAATCCGGTTTTTTTTCCTGTGTTGGGAGTTGAATGGGAGTAATTCCTAATGCTTCACTCAAATTCAGGTTGCAACACAACACTGACCCTTGTGTCAGACAGAATTCATTGGAGTTAAAAGGGTGTAAGAGGGTGTGAGATAGGTCATTGCAAGATAATAGCTGAAATAACTAGTGTTTCTTATTATTATCGTTATCAAGAACACAGAGGTTRGTGTTAGTTAAGATATTATTTATAGCCTGCACTACTCGGCAGTCTGGGATGTTGCAAAGACAAGACTGCAAATTGCCGAACAACACATGTACGGGCAAAGATATTTAATGTTCTAAGTAGGCAACAAAACCTTTTGAAACACCTCCAGTCAATTATTTCTGTTTAGCGGTTTGCACATATTTTCTTTCCATCTTGGAATGACCTATCACCCACCCTTTTCCTTTGGCTCTAAYGTGACAAACTTTGAAATAAGTATATACATTTAAAGGGACCTCAGACTACATTAATCATTCAAATATTTAGTGGAAGAAACCCACCTGTATTCAAACTTTTGTCTAAAGTCTATAATAACMAATGCATTATCAAGAAATGTTTCTATAGACACCAAATATTGGAACAGTAAATTATTATAAACACTGCCTCCCCACTCCCCAAAGACTTCCCTGTCTTCTGTAAGGGGCTGTGTGAAGGCAGAATATATTATAACAGTAGGTATATAAAGTAGGAAAGTCGAAATTGCTTTTAGGACAAAAGAAAATTGCTGAGAATCTGTAGGAAGTAGGTAAGAAAATGGGAAATAATTTTAATGGGGAATTTCAAATCGGAAAGCAATTCTTGCTTATCAGAAAGACGTAGTCATAATGGGAAACATCTTGATGCATGAACTAGAAAAATGACTTCAACAACAACGAAAAGACTGTAACTATCTTTGTTTATCAATCACCTTTAGGGATTTTCAGTGATAATCAATTTTTTAAATCCATTAGAGCAGTTTTTGGTGTGACTGAAAAGGTCATGGCTTGAACATCAGGTCGTGACACTGTAAGGCACATTCCATGAGAATTTACTCTCCATCCAATCAAATGTCTGAAACACGGCATTAACATGCCATAGATATAGTCACGCCATAGACATGGTCACGCCAATGTCACAGAACTACCAAACCATTCAAATTAAATAAAAAATCCTCCAATCAAAATTCTAGAAAATTTCATGCATATACAGTACCAACTATTTCAGTCATATGAAAACTGCTTTATGTCTGCAAGAGATCCACTGTGATATACCTCTTGAATTGCCCTATTTCACTATGACGTCACATCAAAACAATCTATCGTTTAAACACAAAGGATCATGATTGTTGGAGGGGGTCAAATGAACGCAAATTCACCAAAAATTGTTCTATAACCCTTATCAATCCACAAAGAGAAGTAGAATAGCCAGCAAATGCTCAGAATATTTCTAAATACATATTAACACAAATTATATCTGAAAACCAGGTCATTTTAGATTAAATTGTTTCGCTAGGAGCAAATTTTGTTGAATTTCTATTGGATTTGGTGATTCTATCCCCACTTAAACAAGCAGTGACATAGTGAAATAGGGCAATTAATAAGGGGTCATTTTATCATTTTGGTACAGGACATTAGTGGAGTAGCATCTGGTACAAGCCTAAGTAATTAAATAAATAATCTATCCTTGCAATATAATTAACTCAACATTGCTCTTAATTAATGAGAAAAAAAATATTTTGTAAATAAGTTGGTATTTTTTCACCTATAGATGTGACTTCAAATTTTTAATTTCCATTGTGTTGAGAAAATTATTAATGGCAATTAAAATCAGTAAGACAAAGCTATATTTTTTGTTTGCTTTGACTTTTGTCTCCCTCCAAGTAACTCCAAGAMAACAGTCAGCCATAGAAGGAGGAACACCCTACCTTCCATGGGACCTCAAATATTGATTTTTWATGAAAACCCTGAAACAAACTGTCTGGGCTGATAGTCAGAGCGTAGCCAACTCACAGATCAAATCCTGAAACAACCTCTGAGCTGATTTAAGTCGGGGTGCAGCTTACTCACAGATAGAA